GCCCACCTACTCCCCCCCCAGCCCCCAGAGGAGCGAGGCAGGGTGGCCCTCCCCGGCCCCTCCTGCCCCAGGGGGCCGAGTTGGGAGGGAAGCGCGAGATGGTCTCACTGGAACCGGCCCCACTGCGAGCGGTGAGAGGGGGAAGGGCCCTGGAGGCATATGAGAGAGTGTGTGGATGTTGGGGGGGGCAGAGGGATGTGGGCCCCCACACATAATAGGATGTGAAGGGAAAAGATGGTGTGTGTGTATACCTTCCGGGGCACTCATTAAAGGGGGTGGAAGAGGGAAGGTAGTGGGGGACAGTGTTTGGGGTTAGAGTGGGAGTGTTTGATTCCGTGTCTTTCCCCCCCTTCCAGCCCCCCCCCAGGAGAGGTTTGTGGGAGGGTTGCAGGTGGGGCTGGAACGCTCTTGTATGGAGCTGGGAGTTATGGATAAGGAGCCTTTTTGAAATATAATGCATAGAAAGCAAATTATGAACTTCGGTTCTCTTTGCCTATATATTTTGTTATAGTATCGTCTTATAAATTGGGTAGAACTGTTCATGAAGGTTCTATGGCTTTGTGAATTAGACGAGGTTTAAAGAAAAGGGTAAGATTCAGTGCTGAGTGATGGTACACCATTTAGGGACTTCTGTTGGAGATCAGTAGCAAGAGTCCTTCCTGTGTCTCTCACTGCAAGTCCTCTTCCACTTGCTTGTGTACAGTCATGCTTTTAGCCAGTTTTGGTGACATTTCTTTAAATATTTTTTCCAAGTAGATATGATCTCCCGCAGGTTTGAATTGTGGAACTGGAGACAGGGTAAAACTTTTAAAAAGGTGCAGTAGGCAAAGGTCTTTCTGTACATCTGACACAGGCAGTGACCTTGTTAATCTGTTTTGGAGGCTGTTTTGGGGTTGCTTGGATATGCCACACCTATGCATGTATTTGTGTAGCAGGGATGTGGGTAGTGCCAGAATTATTTTCCTGTTATTGTTGCAAGTAATTGAGGTGTAATAGTTGCTGCTTTCTTTGGCATGTGTTTCTAGCAGAGTGACTGCAGTATGATGCTGCTGCTTTTGTTTTGGCAGCTTTGGAAACAGAAAATCTTCAGTGATATCAAGGCTTTGGCTACATTCTGAAACTTCTTACTGAATTTTAAAGAATTATTGTCATTTGTGTACACTGAAAAGTGTGTCTGTCCAAAAGGAATCAGAGCAAATGCAAATGCTTAAAAGGCTCAGATATCTTTCTTCCTGCCATGGTTGCACTCCACTGGGTTCAATGATACCTGTTTGTATTAAAGATGCCAGGATAGTTTTACTGCAAGAAGAATAGGAAGTTCATTGCAAGTAAGCATTGGCCGAAATCCAGTAATAATTCACAGGAAGTGTAAGCCTATTGCGTTAGTGAGGATTTGGTGAGTTAACACCTATGTACTGTAATTGATTCAGTGGGTCTACTCCTGACTTACTACTGGATTTCAGCGATTATCATGAAACACAGGCTGTTCAACAACAACAAAAACTACTCCCCTCCCTGTGTGCCTATACATACCTGTGATGGTTCCATGGAGTTATAAAATGAGGCAGAAAGGGGGAAATTATTAGTACCCATTGGTGTAGTGTGTAATATATTTTAGATTACAGTGACACTTTCACAGATATGTCCCTCATGCATTAACTTTTCCACTGCCTCCAAAAATCTCTACTTTTCTAGCCATGGTTCATTAAATGGTAAAGAAATGTGATTTCTCTACGATAAATGCAGTCCTTGGAGAATAGTGGTTGTGAAGCTCAGTGGGTTTTAAAAAATCTGACTGAACAGTTACATATGACTGTAAAAAGAATTGCATAAATTCAGTAGCCATTAGCCATAGTAAATGACCGGAAATCTTTCACTTTCAGAAGCTCTCGATCTCTGCATCTTCAGATATTGGTACAAAAAACCAAAAGGATGATTACCAGGACCTTAGAATGCCTGCTTTTTCATTAAGGCCTTATACTGAGTACTTTCAGTGACAGTACTTGCCTAAATGGTCTGACTTAGCATCACATCAGAACATGTTTACTAATACTGTATTTAGCTATTTCTGTTGTAGACGCTACAAGTCTCTTTCTTTGTTTCTATGCATGCAGATATACAGTATATACCTCTAAATATGAAAAGTAAAGGGAGTTAGATATAAGGATAATGTCATTTTAAGTTTTATTAATGATAATACTAATCTAATGAGCCATAAAAATCTTAGTTCCTACTGTAATTAAACTGCGTGCTTTTACTTTGATGGGCTTATGGTGCCATTTGTGCAGTTTCTGATGTGAGAAGGTATGGGGGAAGCTTGGTATTCTTCTGGGACATTCAAAAGGAAGGAGTAAATAAGTGAATACTGTATAGAGTTCTTTAAACTGAATAATCTTAACTGAAGTTTCATATAAACCATTATGTCGTTAGTTCTGTATAGCCTTTTGTGTTTTCAGTCAAGAGTGTCTGGCAAGCAGAGAATAAAATTCCTCTAGCCCAGGGCATGGAACTTTTTTACCTTTTACCTCCCAAAAAAATTCTATAAGCCAACATTACCCCCTTGATTTGAAAGGAAGGAAGTGATACAGTATTTGATGAAGGCACCCTTTTCCCCCCGCCTTAATTCAAGCCCTGCCTGTTCTTTTCATAGTTTTGAGTCAGTCTCTCTCTCTCACGCACACACAAACACACATCCACCCTCCCTCCACCCTTTTTCCCACCTTAATTCAAGCCTTGCCTGTTCCTTTTTTCATAGTTTTGTCAGTCTCTCTCACACATGCACACTTCCACCCACCCTCTCTCCACCCTTTTTACCCACCTTAATTCAAGCCATGCCTGTTCTTTTCATAGTTTTGAGTCAGTCTCTCTCTCGCACACACATCCTCCCTCCTTCCCCCCTTTTCCTGCCTTAATTCAAGCCTTCCCTGTTCCTTTTTTCATAGTTTTGAGTCAGTCTCTCTCTCACACATACATATCCTCCCTCCTTCCCCCCTTTTTTCCTGGCTTAATTCAAGCCTTGCCTGTTCCTTTTTTCATAGTTTTGAGTCAGTCTCTGTCTCTCACTCTCTCACACACACACATGCGTCCACCCACCCACCCTCCATCCATCCATTTTCTTCATATATTTAAATAAGCTTGATGAAGCCCTCCGTCTCTCGCTCCTTCCTTCCCCTCATTAACTTGATCCTTTCCCGCCTCCTGCTTGCTTGCATTCATTTCCAGAGGAAGCAGTCATTCAAAGCCCCAGATTGATTGATTGCTCGCATTACCCCCAGGATTTTCACTTTTACCCCAATTGGGGTAATTACTCCTGTTCCCCGACCGCTGCTCTAGCCAACTGCCCATAAGCATGATTTTTGTTGCTAACTTTCTAATTATCTACTATGGCTCAGTGAGATGCATTAGCTACTATATACAGTGGTGCCTTGCTAGACGATGATAATCCATTCCACAGAAATCGCTGTTTAGCGAAATTATTGTCTAGCGAAAAGCATTTCCCTATTGGAATGAATTTAAACCTGTTTAATGCATTCCATCGGGGAAGAACCAAATTATTGTCTAGCGAAGCTCAGCCATAGGAAAGCCGCTTTGCTAACCGCCGATCAGCTGTTTAAATAGCTGTCTTGCAAAGCTTAGGTCCCAAAAACACCTGTTTGCAAACACGGAGGGAGCTGTCAAAATCATTGTCTAGCAAAAATTTGTTTGTGAAGCAGGGACCAAACATTTCCAGCGAAATTCCCCCATAGGAATCACTGTTTTGCGAATCGCTATAGCGATCACAAAAAGTGAATGTCTAGCAAAAAAAAACACCTGTCATGTGGGGTAACTGTCTAGTGAGGCACCACTGTATCTGCTAAATTTCTTTGCGTTGGAGAAATTGTGAATACATCTTTATTAAACTTGAGTTTTTATGCTTTTTTCTGTGGCAAGTTATCTTCTATTGCTTAGTTCAGAAATATGAAGCATATAACATATGTGCCTCATGTGCATCTTTAAAAAGTAGGAGCAGATGGCTAAAGAGTAAAGGGACTTGGTGGTGAATGAGAACAGATCCTATTTCGTCCTCTGCTGTCTGGTGATATAAGTGGACAAGAACAGTCATGCTGACTAATCTGGTTTCAATGATCTCTTGTTCTCAAGTCATATAGAATAGATAGCATTTATTCATGGTTAGAACAAGCCATGTTTTATTAAGTTAGTAGTTAAGATCCAGTTCATAATGAAACCAAGATTAATTTGCTAATCTAAATCCTCCCTTTTCAAGTCATAGGGTGTTACTACACAACAGGAAGAATGCAAATGGGTCTACCTTGAAGTTGCACTTGGGAAGCTGGATTTCCCTTGGTAGGGTGGATAAAAATCAATGTTTAGAAATCAAATTATATAAAAATGTTTTTATTTTAAAAATCCACTCTGTCTCTGGGTTAATTTATTTATTTATTTATTGGACTTATATACCGCCCCATAGCGCTACAAGCACTCTCCGGGTGGTTTACAATTTTTAATTATACAGGCTACACATTGCCCCCCCAGCAAGCTCAGAGAGGAGAGGAAATCAGCCTTGTTTGCAGCTTCTTAGCCATTTAAATCTTCTTCTCTCCCCCCCCACCATACCTGGTATTTGGGTATGCTTGTTTCCCTCTTCTCTTCCATTTCTTTGTTCTCCTTTAAAGATATGCTGTCCTAGTACTAGGACAGCAGGTGACGGGGGGGGGGGGGGGAGAAAACAGAAATCAGCAGAGAGACAAGAGAAAGTCCTTGTTTCCAGCTTGTTAAAGTTGCTCTGCTGATTTGCAGGAGGTAAGAATAGAGGTATCTTAAAACTTTTTCCTCTGTCTCTTCCACTAGATTAGCAAGCCTTTAAATGAAAGAAAAATAGAAATGAAATAAAGAGAAGATTAAAACAGACACAGGCACCAGGTGTGGGAAGGAGAGGATGGTGGCCAGTTCCCCTGCTGCCTTGCCTCTCGTTTTGCCACTGTAGGTGGCTAGAATGGTTTTAAATGCAATGTTTACAAACCCCTTCAGATCATCACCTGAACTGATGCAAATATATTTGTTTTTTAAAAAAGTACAGCCCCCCTCCCATGGCATAGGAAAAAAATTGTACAGAATTATTAGTCTGTGGGGCGGGGCTGATTCACATGGACGTCTACATCATGTAGTCAACAGAAAATATTGTGACTCTGATCATCCCTGTCCTGGAACATTTCCTGCATTATTTATCAGTGTAGTCCCACCCATAGTTAGATCTTATCACCTGACAGACTCATTTCTGACTGTGAATTCAGATCTTGGCTTGCAAGCAGTCTCAGAATTAGAAATTCAGATGTAGTCATCAATCATTTTTATATCACTGTGAAAACTTTTCCTCTTTCATACTCCCCATTGCAAGTAAATCTGACTTTAGCTGCTTTCATGATTAACAATGAAATGGCACTGTGGCATGCTTTTCTCTGTCCATTCCTCAAGTCTTTGATATAAGATCTTGGGATTACCTCTCCCCAATTGTAAGATCTAACTAACAAGACAGTCAGATGTGCTCTGTGAGTTAGGAGCCAGAGGTTGAGAGTTTAGTTCCTACTGTACTTCCCAGAACAGCCAGGCTGTGTGGCCTTGGGCCATCTACACAGTCATATACAGTAATGCCCCCAGAAGAATGGAATCATAAACCACATTTAAGTACTCGCTTCCTAGAAAATCTGTCAGAAGTCAGAATTGACTTGATGGCACACAGTCATTCTATGTGCTTCTGTACCAGCATAAATGAGGTATGTTAATTGTCTCAATACCAGTTATTTAATTATGGTCAGGGCTTGAAAAATTTTAGAATGTCTCACCAGTCAGTCAAAAATTTCACCAGTCAGCATGACTGGACTGCTAAATAGCCTTGCAATTTATTGGGATTGGGAATCACTGATTTATACCCTCAGACTTTGGTTGCTTTATTACCTGCATGCCTGTAGGGTCATGAAGCTTGTATTTTGAATGCCTTTCTTTTGAATGTCTCCAGCAAAACTAAAATGGAAAGCAAAAGAGCCTGGCCTCTTAAGGAGCCAGGTTCCCTCCCACCCCAGGATGTGATCTCATTTGGTTGAAATTAGGAACAGGGAATCTCCATATTCTCCAGCATGGGACTGCTCTACATTCTCTTGCAGAGCTATAGTTCTATGTGCCACTCAAACTCTCTTCTCGTGAGAAGAGAAAGTTTTCCTTTTGCAATGGGAGGGCAGAGGGAAGGACTGCAAGATTAGAGAGAGAGAGAGAGACAGCTTTCCTTTTGCAATGGGAGGGCAGAGGGGAGGACTGCAAGATTAGAGAGAGAGAGAGCCAGTCAGAGGGGAAGGAAGCAGGCAGGGAGGGAGCTGTGACTATCCAGCAGCATTTTTCACTCATCACAGACGAGTGCATTTTTCAAGCCCTTGCTATGGTGAAATATTTTATGAAGTTAATGACAAAATAATTGAAATCCAGTAGTAATTTACAACTAGAGTAGGCCCTGTGAATCAGTTTAATCTATGGAGCACATGACTCACAAAACTCCCTTCTGATTCAGTGGACTTACTTTAGATGCAATTTATTTCTGGCTTTCAGCCCAAAGAAATCAAAAGTTTGCTCTCTTTATTTCAATGTAGCATCATTTGTTTAAAACAGTAGTAAAAACTTCTTGTGTCCAAGGCCTTTGGTGATTGCAAAAATGATGATGCAAGCAGAGGTGGAAATAAATCTGATAAATCCTTTACAGGATAGGAATCTCATCTAACATAAATATAGACTAAAATTTTAATGAGTATGTTAGTGTGATGCAGTTGACAAAAATCTTATTAATGAATTGCAACAGGTTGAAAAGTTAGTGTAAGCATTTGCTCAGCATAACTAAATGCTTTTTGGATATAGGAACGTATTTTTAAAATATATTATAATGTAAATAATAAGTAACATATTTATGAGATTGTTTCAAAAAGTTAATATGATGGTTAACACTTCTGTGAAACTTAAACTTGTTCTTCAAATCATCATAAGTACCAGATTGTCTCTTGTTTGAATGAAATTAGTGCTTTGAAGTAGGCATTCTCAACCTTTTTAAGGCCATAGCCGTGAAGACATGAAATAAATATTGTATAGGCTGAATCAGAATTGTATAAATTGCATAATAAACCTTATAAGGCAGCATGTGAAGAATTGTTTCCATTCTGTGGCACCCTTCAAATGTACCGGGGGCCCTAAGTGGGGCCATAAGGCCCCTATTGAAAATGGCTGCTTTAAAGAATAATATTTTTGCACCTTCATTGCAAAAGCTTGATTAGGTATTCACTTTCAAAGTAGAAATGATGAAAGCAACATTCCCTCTCAGCTGCATGGCCGCACTGCCTCTGTACTGAGCACGTGCAACCAGTGTTGCAGCTCATTTGCTTCTGATCACACCCAGAACTTTGTGTGGCCAGGGTGGGGTTTCTGCTCAGTGCTGGTGGAAAATTAAATGTAATTAAAGAGCAGCAATTTCTTTTCTTTAGTTGCATTCAGTTTTCACCAGCACTGAGCAGAGGCCCTGCACCACATTCCCAAAAATCTGGCTGCAACTGGAACCAAATGGGCAGCAACAATGGCTGCAGGTTCTCAGCACCGATGCAGCACCATGTGGCCGCACAGTTTAGAAGGAATGTTGGATGAGAGTGTACTTACTGTGTTTGTCTGCATCTTGTCTTTTTTTCCATGAGTGAGCTGACCACTCCTATCTTCTGTAGTGCACACAAGATATTATTTAGCCTGAAAGCATGTTGCTTTATAGTACACAAACAAAATAGGGGCATAGCCCATAATAACCAGCAAGAGAGATATGAAAGATATGAAAGTAGAAAGCTACCAACATTCAAGTTGGGAAGAATGAAATAGGGTAGGAAATTCAAAGATTTAATTAGTTAATTAAAAAAGAATAGAGGACTCCAGCTTCACATTCAGAGATAGCACCAGCATGCATTATCTTCATAATACAGAAATAATAAGGGGGGGGACCCACTTGGTTACCAAGGTGGATCAAAGAGAGATCACAACTACATGGCAGCCAAGTGGCAATATTTTGTATCTGTGTGTATAAGGTGAATTCGTATACAAAATGATTAGACAACATATCTCTTTATCAGCATTTGCCTCTCATGAAACAAGCAGTCATAAAGGTGGCAATGAATATGAGTAGCACTACCATCACAAGGTGCCATGCGACATTCCTAAACAGCAACAAGTATTTATTGCTGCTAATAAATACCATGAGAAATAACAGAAACATCAAATTATCTTGTGGCACCTTAACTAAGAATAGACATGGGTACAAACCTCCGTTTGGAGTTTCGTCCCAGTTCATATGCGGTTCCTCCGCAGCCAGTGACCCACTCACCAGTCAGAGCACACTCTCCTCCTCCTCTTCTGCTGTTTGACCAGCCCTGGGCAGGAGCATGTGTTTGTCCTGCCTCATTGTCTGAACAGGTAATAAATCAAGGAAGTGGGGGAGAGAAGCCCATTCTCCTGTTGGCAACTGGTCAGACAGCAACAGGAGGAGGATCCAGCCTGGGAAGTGAGGGAAGGGTTCATGCTCATCTCTAACTAACCAAAGGATCCTGAGGATTACACTTGGATAAAAATATTAAATGGTTCATTAAAATTACAAAAAAGACATAAAGAATTCAAAAAGGAGTTCCTACATTTCCAAAGTAAAGAAAAAGCAGTAAGCAATGCATATCCAGATAAATAAATGAGCCACATGAAAGTATTCCCCAATAAAATAATAAAACTAACTAATTCTGCCTAAAAATCATGACTTTCTTCTACTGGGTCTCTATGCCTAATCCACCAGCAGCGGATAGGGAGATGGATAACTAGCTTGACAAAAAGCAGACCCTAACTAGCCTCTTGCTAGATCAGACCTGGGCAAAGTGCGTCCCTCCAGATGTTGCTGAACTGCAAATCCCAACATTCCTCACTGTGTGGGCTAGGCCCAACTCTCCTCACTACTGGCTGTGTGGGCTAGGAATTATGAGAGTTGCAGTTCAGCAACATCTGGAGGGCCACATTTTGCCCACCCCTGTCTTAAATCCATGTTCCCACAACATGTTATCTAATCAGGTTCATGTCCTTTGTCCAGTAACTTCACCCTCAAAATGTAACTTCTCTCAGCCCCTTCCTTTCAGTTTTTATGACAATCTCTGCTGATAAGCAATTAAGAATGCAATGTGGTGTTTACAGCTCCTCATGGTATGTCCTTGAAGCAGCCTGGACCAGAGCAAAACAAATCATGTTCCTCATGTAGATAAAACACCACCTGGAGAAGTCTAGAGAAGGACAACATAACCCATCTGTTTTCCTCACAGCCTGCAGTCTTCAAAAGGAAATGCTAAATAAAACGTGTTAGTCTTTAAGTTGCCACAAGACCTTTGGTTTTGCTGCAATAGGTTAATGAAACTGTCTCCAGAATTTGTTGCATAAAAAGCTTTATGCACTGAAAGGGAAACTGGTGATGATTTCAATACTAAAAACAGGCAAACACCAAACATTACACTGTTAATCTTAATCCCAACTTCGATTACTTCTCCAGTCCATCCATCAGTGTTTAAGATGTAATTTGTATTATTGGATCAGGATTAGTCTCTTGCCATGGTGGGATGCTTGTTCTATACAGTATATAAAGAAACATAATGCTTGCATAAGCAGCTTTTCCTGATGTGTTGTTCACAGTATTGCTTCATTGGACATTGGAGGATAGCAATCTGCAGATGGCTTTCAGCATGGATCAGTTATAGATTGATACAGGTTAATATTTTTATGCTGTATTCACAACTACAAGGAAAATTAATAAAATCAGAATAAAAATGTGTGTGTATATGTGATGTAATTTTTCTCAGACTGATAAAAATGTCTCACTAAATTAAATTCAAAGGCTATTTTTAAAGATTTGTCATCGCAAGCAGAATGGATAAAAATAAATTATTTTTAAAATAAACTGATTTAAATTACAATTTAATTTTTAATTGATTTTTTAACATTTAAATCATAACAAATCTGGTGTTTTTTGTTTTGTTTTAAATCAGATCAAACCCACGCTGATCCCAAGGGCCATACACCATCAGGGATATGGCCAAAGTGGAAGAAGCATGGTGAAAATGACTCTCTTTTTTAAGGCTAAATGGTAATTTTTATATGTTAGAGTGAAAATTTTAATGTAAATTCTATTAATTTTTTCTTAGTTAAAAAAGAGGTTTTACTTTTTATTTTGTGATTTTCCAGTGGGTTTATTTTTTATTTTGTGATTCTCCAATGCCTACAGTCCATAATTAACAAGCTTGTTGAAGAAATAGAAATCAGTCCAGCGCAGATTTGGAAATCTCATTCCAAGAAGTAAATGTAGTGACAGATGACTTCCTTATTTAATTAACATTATCAAGGCAAAGAACAGCCATTTTAACAAAAAAAGAAAAAAGTGGCAAGCTGTCTTTAATAAGTAAGTTTAGATAAAGCTGTGAAAGTGACTGGGAAGCTCCTGGAGAACCATAAAAGCAGAAGTAGCAGTTGCAGTGGCACTTTTCTTGATTTTTTTCAACATTTCATGGGAGGGAGTCTTAGAAGTGCTGCACATATGGCTACATTGTGTCCATCCTTTCTTTAAAGGGAAATCCTAAAAAGAATATTAAAATGTAAGGTTTTAAAAGTAAAGTAAAATATGAATTTCTCATTATAAAATTGGCCTGTCAATTAGTTTTAATCCAGACATACCTTATGGAATAGGCAGGTAGACTTCAGGCTTCCAGGACTTACAAGACTCATAAAGTTTACCAACTAAAAGTCTCATGGTTTTTTCATTCAAGCTTTGTTAAGGTCTTTTGTTTGATGCAGATATAGTAAAATAAAAAACTGCCAAGTGTGAAATGCTTCATGATCCCCTGAACATTGACTAGGAGAGTCTGAACTACTTTCTGCCCATCCCTGCCCTGTGATTTCACTACTATTTCCATGGGCTTATTATCAGGAAATTGTTTCTTTGGTTTGGTGGGCGTGTTAGAAGTGTGATTTACTGCATGTCTCCTGATATTTAGATAGAGATACACTGCTTCCAGACTTTCATGTTCAAAATATAAGACAGAAAAGTTACCAAAGAGCGCTGTTACCCACTAAGCTTGCTTGAATATTTTTTTCAAGGCTGGAAGGGGGGAGGCTTGTTTTGCTTTCTGGGCTTGAGTGTGGTACTGAATGAAATGGAGAACGTAATTATTTTAAGAAATAAGAAAATTAGCGGGCTAATATTTGTATGCATGAATATGTAGATGTATGATTACAGAATTGTATTTAAAGATGACTTTGTTTTACTGTCTTTGCATTTTAGAAGATGCCTAAAGCATCAGAAGACCATAACCACTGGGAAGCTTGTTGACTATTTCCTGGGAATCTTGAGACGCAACATCCATCTGGCATGGCGCAAAGCAGCCAGCAGCTTGACATGCAGGTACTCCATGACCTCCGGCAGCGTTTCCCTGAGATTCCAGAAAGTGTGGTATCTCAGTGCATGCTCCAGGTAGGTGTTAAGAGAGACAATAATATTTTCTCTTAAAAAATAAAAATACAGTGGTGCCTCGCACAACGATTGCTTCATACAACGATGAATTCACACAGCGATGGGCTTTTTTGAGGAATTTCCCGCATCGTTTAACGATGTTCTCTATGGGGGAATTTCACTTAACGATGTCCCTTTTTGCTCATTTAAAAGTGTCTTAAAATGTTTGAAACCTGTTTTAAATGCTTGGATTCCATAGTGCACCTTGTGAAACATGTGCAAACTTAATTTGGTTTTGTTCTGAGTCTTCATTAATTTTTGGTGATTTTTTAATTTTCCCCATTTAAATCAATTGAATGGACAGTTCAATGCATTTAAATAGGGAAAACAAAAAATCACCAAAAATTAAGGACGACTCAGAACAACACCAAATTAAGTTTGCATCGGGTTCAGGAGGTGGGCTAACGATTGCAAGCATTTAAAACCTGTTCCAAACATTGTAAGGCACTTTTAAATGAGCAAAAACGGACTTCGCAAAGCCATTGAAATGTATTGAGTCGGCTTCAATACATTTCAATGGAGGAAACATTGTTTCACTCAACGATGTTTCCTATGGGTTTTTTCACTTAAAGACGGCAATCCGTTCCAATTGGAACGGATTAACTGGTTTTCAATGCATTCCTATGGGAAATGGTGTTTCACAGAACGATGTTTCACACACGTTGATTTTTTTGGAACCAATTAACATCGTTGTGTGAGGCACCACTGTAAACGGTCAATAGAGAAGCCAAAAAGATCAAAGGATTTTTTATTCTGAAAGATAAAAGCCTATTACCATGGTGGAAAAGGATGAGAATGAAAAGAAATATGTTGTAGAGTGAATATTCTAAGCTTTTGGTGTAACCACACATCTAACCATTTAAAATATTATGATCTGTGTCTATGCTACATGATAGTCTCAGCTACAAATAAACCAACTGAATCAGTTGTTATGTGGTAAGTCAGCAGTTATGTGGATTCCATTGTGTCGATGGAACTATTTCAGTTGAAACTGGCAATTGGATGTCATCTGTTTTTTTTAAAATTTTGGGTGGGTTTTATTTATTTATTTATTGTGGGTGGGAGTGGCGGCTTACGAACTCTATAGGCATTGATGAAAAAATGGCTGCTCCTGGAATCTTCCAGGAACAGAAGTAGGCACCTTTTACACTTTTGTAATGAGAGGACTTTGTGGTGGCCTTGGAAACCTCAAAAATGCCCCCCACACTACCTGTGGATTGCAAGCCACATGGTGCCCCCTCATTTTAGATGAAGCACATGTGTTACAGTAGGTGCCATCTTAGAAGAAGCATCCCATTTATGATTACATTATCAGAATCCTTGAAATTCAAAGTAACGTTTAGATTCTCAGTGTGAACAGAACTTAATTAATTTCCAGATACTCAACTGCTTTGATCTCAGTTTGAACACAGCACTGATAAACAGAGAACTTTCAGATAATGTCAACAAAATATTATATTCATTAATGTCATATTTGTTCATGGAGTGTAAAAATAGACAATTGTAGAAGTAGTATGTGCCATCTAACCGACTACCCACTGTAAATTTGGAAGTGCTAATCAAGCAAGCAGTCATGTGATGGGCACATGATGGGCAGCTGAAAAAACATGGAAACCCCTTTCACAATTGTATTTATACAAATTGATTTTTGCAACACGATTCTTACAGTGCTTGCTTTGGTGGGAGGCACACATTTTTTTTAATTGATGCAGATTTTACTGATAGATGCTCTTGGATACCTCTCACACACTCCTGCTTTCTTTAACAATAAATAAGATTTGCATTTAAATTCAATTTATCAATAAAGACTCAGATTATATGTATATTCTACATAATTTGAAGTGTCTTATGAATAGGATTTTGAATAAGGAATATTGCCATTTTTTGTTATGGGCTATATGAATAATAATTACTTTATTTAAGTTATGTTCTTCTGAAATCAATACTTGTAATGGAAAAAATGTGACAGTCTTGTTTCCTTTCTTTGATTGGTGAGCATCATTTAGAAGATATCATTCTCAGACAGAGAACTTTTTAAAAAGATGATCCCTGTGGTGATAGGTTTGTTCATTTTTTTTCCAAAATCATTGTTTTGTTTATCTGTAAATGTAACTAGCTGAGGTTCAGTGAGTGTTATAAGATTACTGCAGCTCTAAATGAAATATTACAAGTACTCGATCAGTCTAAGCTGTTTGGTATTTGACATGTATGTACATGGAGTTATAGCATCTACAACTCATTTGCTTACCTGAAAACTTAACATGTTTTTTGTTATTGCTAGAACAACAATAACCTCGATGCTTGTTGTCGAGTTCTTGCACAAGAAAGTAACAAATACCTGTACATGGAGTACCACAGCCCAGATGACACCCGAATGAACAGGAATCGCCTTCTGCATATTAACCTGGGTATCCATCCTCATACCTGTTATCATGGAGGGGATGGTGCTCAACTTAATGGTGGCCGTACACTGGTACATAGTTCAAGTGATGGACATATTGATCCCCAACAGACAGGAGGTAAACAGCTCATATGTTTAGTTCAAGAACCACATTCTGCTCCAGCTGTTGTGGCAGCTTCTCCCAGCTACAATCCATTTTTTATGAATGACCAGAATAGAAATGCAGCTACTCCTCCTCCACAACCACCTCAGCAACCTTCTTCCATACAACCTGGAATGAATACATCTGCTATGCAAGGCCCTCCTCCTCCTCCTACGTATATGCACATACCTCGGTACAGCACAAACCCTATAACTGTTACAGTTTCACAGAACCTCCCTTCTGGACAGTCTGTACCCAGAGCTTTACAAATTCTTCCTCCAATTCCAAGCAATCCTTATGGGAATCCTGGTTCTCTCTACATTAGGCAGACATCTCAAGGTTCTTCAGGACGACAGACCCCTACTCAGAGTACACAGTGGCATTCGTCACCACAAGGTCCAATTCCACATTATAGTCCACATCCACTACCTATCTACCCACACCAACCAAACTATCAACCTTCTCAGTATTCTCCAAAACAGCCCCAGATTCCTCAGTCACCTTTTCAATCACCACCTGCTTCTCAATGTCCTTCTCCTTTTGGCTCGCCTCAGCATCAAGTTCAGCCTACTCAAGTAGGCCATCAGAGTTCCCTTGTGTTTATGCCTCCTAGTCCTTCAACTGTGCTACCCCATTCATATCAACAAACACCCCAGACGTATCAAAAGCCAGGTGGACACTCTGTATCTTATCTCCCATATGGTGGACCTAGTTTATCTAAAGGCTCCATGAACAAGATAGAAATTACTGTTGAGCCTCCACAAAGACCTGGGACTGCAGTTAATAGAAGTCCTTCACCAATAAGTAGCCAACCATCCCAACGGAACCAGCACCCGCTGTATGCACCTGGCACTACTCCATCAGGTTCTCCTTCTAGAAGTATGTCAGGTCAACCCAAACCTCCTTACAGTGTTAATCCTGTATATATAACATATACGCAACCAACTGGACCGGCAGGTGTGCTCACACAGTCCCCACGAGTGATGGTATCTCAGCCAAATCCAGCAGTTTTTAAAATCACAGTAGGCCGAGCACCAGCTGAGAACCTTTTAAATTTAGTGGACCAAGAGGAACGTTCTGCAGCACCAGAACCTATACAGCCCATTTCTGTTGTACCAGGATCTGGAGGTGAAAGAGGAAGCCATAAGTATCAGAGGAGTTCCAGTTCTGGATCAGATGACTATGCTTATACTCAAGGTAAACTGATTGTACTTCAGTAATTCTCAGTTGTTAAGACAATTTAAATTGCAGTGTATCCTAAAGGGTTGTTTTGGTGAGCTACAACGGGTATTTAAAATTCATAAGGAAAGACTGTACTGATTAAGTGATTAATATTGATTAATTAGTTGTGGGTGCACATTATTTTCTCCCATAAGATGTAAAGAGCATGCAGTTTATCATCACTCATTTCAGTCTTTTCAGTACCAAAGAAAGCAGCAGCTAACACAATGGTGTTATGACTGTTATGTCAGTATGTCGCATGATATTGTCTTGTGTTGACACAATAGCTGAAGTCCTCTTGTGCAGTTATGTAAACGACATAACTTTTAAACATGCATTGCTGCAAGTTAAGAAACCTCTGTAGACATTATCTGTTGCACCTCAGTTGTGAAATATGCCGCTGATAATGTCTAAGGAGGTTTCTCAGTTTATGGCAATTTTCTTCTAAATGTTATACTGTTTACATAGCTGCAGAACAGAATTTCAGCCAATAAGTTGCATTTTTACTGTTAGTGGAGAAGAAGTAATTCTGGTTGCCATACAGTGCATTATATAAAGGACAGAAATGAAGAGTAGGTGGGACTTGATAGGACCGATGACTTGACTGAATGCCATTTTGATGTCTCCAAATGTGATTGTTGTCAGCATAAATAGTGAAGCTCTTGTAATTGACTCTGAATTTCATAAGAGTAGCATCAGTTATTTGCTTGGATATTGTGTGTTATTGAGGCTCTGTGACTACAACTTGTATAATGTCGAAATAAATTGTTAAATCTTTTGAATGGAAAACATTGGCCCATTTTTAAAAAGGGAAGAACTAATCTGGTATTAAATAAATAGCTTTGACTGGATAGCTGCAGGAGTTAAGTATCTGACTGTGAAGCCAGAGGTCGAGAGTTCACTTCCCCACTGTGCTTCCCAGAAGAGCTACCCTGTGTGGCCTGCCCAATCTCAGGATGACCCCAGAAGAAGGGAATGGTAAATCACTTCTGTGTACTATATACCTAGAAAACCCTGAGAAGAGTCGCCATAAGTCAGATTGATATAATGACATATTGTTATTGTCCTATTGCTTTGATTTTATTTATTTATTTTATTTATGTACCGTCCATCTCTGGGCGGTTTACAACAACTAGACAGAAAAAATAAAATAACAAAGTAAGATGACATCAATAAATTAAAAGTGCAAACCAAAATACCATAAACACAGTGAAAGACGTGGTGAGATACAGTACAATACATTACATTAATATAATTTAATAATATAAAAACATGGCGATATGTTGAATCTTCCGTTATCCTGTTACTTTATTTAAATAGTTACGTTTCTCATATGCATGTCATATACTAGAATGCATCTTAGGAATCTGACACGTTAGTAAAACCACACAAGAGTTGCCTCATTAAAGTAGGACATTGAGAAATAAAAATAAGAAAAATAAATCTATTAAATACATTTATTTAAAATTTCTGAATGGATGATAACCTTTATTTTTCCAGCTTGCACAGAAAAACTGTTGGAACTAATATTTGCTTTCTACCAAACAGGAAGCAAATTTCTTAACAATGTACTTAAACTGGAAATCACAAGGATCATACCTCAGTTATTGAGGAACCACTTAATTTGCCTCCAGAAGGCCTGTGATATTTTCAGTAAAATGACCACATTGAAAGGGATATAAAGGATTTCTGGTTGTGACTGACTTCCAACACTTGTAGGCCTCAGTAAATATAATGTTTGCAGTGCAAACAAGTTAAAAGTAAATAAAAGTGGCATTAATATATGCTATATAAAGTTTAGTTTGGAGAATAAAAATTAAATCAAATTTTAAACATTAGGTTAAAAGGCTTAGAAAACAGTAAGATGACTAATTGGTCCTAAAAGATAATAAAACAACTGAAGAGCTTTTGGCGAGCTTTTTCTATAGCCAGAGTGTACCGAAGGGGCCTTCAGCTAGTATCAATCCAACCTGCCTCACTTGGTGGGGCACTTGGGGATGGGTCTGTTGAGATTATTGCACGCTGACAGTGCAGTAAGCACAGGAAGTGGCGAGTCTTGCAGTCTTGAACTAAGTTTAATACTGCTCTAGATATATTTGTGCATGGTTTTGGCAACATTACTATGTCTTGCAGTCTCAGGACAATTTGCAGATGTTTTAAACATAATATGGTGTATTCATACATATGGGTCGTCGTCGTCATTTAGTCGTGTCTGACTCTTCGTGACCCCATGGACCAGAGCACGCCAGGCCCTCCTATCTTCCACTGCCTCCCGGAGTTGTGTCAATTTCATGTTGGTTGCTTCGCAGACACTGTCCAGCCATCTCAACCTCTGTCATCCCCTTCTCCTCTTGCTGTCACACTTTCCTAACATCAAGGTCTTTTCCAAGGAGCCTTCTCTTCTCATGAGATGGCCAAAGTACTGGAGCCTCAGCTTCAGGATCTATCCTTCCAGTGAGCACTCAGGGTTGATTTCCTTTAGAATTGATAGGTTTGTTCTCCTTGCAGTCCAGGGGACTCTCAAGAGCCTCCTCCACCACCACAATTCAAAGGCATCAATTCTTTGGCAGTCTGCTTTCTTTATGGTCCAATACATATGGGTAGTTCACTGTAATAATTAAATGTTTTTTATCTGCAATGCTAAGTCCAGCTAAGAAGTCTCAGATGGTTCAACAGCAAAACATTTTCGCAGGAACTTTTGAAATATTGCTGTCAGGTAGGCAGGTTGATGATACTAGGACAGATGGCATTTGACATAAATGCAAATGTTTCATATGTTTTCTATAATAAGCAAGAGGAGCTACAAGTGATAATATAATGTCGCTGGAAATGTCTGAGCAACAAAACACTGTTAAATGCAAGGTGAGTTAGTTGGCTTAGTTTCTGCTGAAATCAATAGGACTCAAATCATTATTACGTAAGTTACTCCATTAATTTCAATGGAAGCACTAACCTCCATTCTAGTGGTCAGGGACAATGGGAGGTGCAAAACAGCAACATATGGAGGGCCACCAACTTCCCATATGTCTCAACAACTGATGCATGGGCAGATTATGTATTTTCTGACTCTGGGGATGTGCAGGACTGTGCATAGTATATCGTCGTTTAGTCGTTTCCGACTCTTCGTGACTCCATGGACCAGAGCATGCCAGGCCCTCCTATCTTCCACTGCCTCCCGGAGTTGTGTCAATTTCATTCTGGTAGCTTTGATGACATTGTCCAACCATCTCATCCTCTGTCGTCCCCTGCTCCTCTTGCCTTCACACTTTCCTAACATCAAGGTCTTTTCCAAGGAGTCTTCTCTTCTCATGAGATGGCCAAAGTATTGGAGCCTCAGCTTCAGGATCTGTCCTTCCAGTGAGCACTCAGGGTTGATTTCCTTTAGAATTGATAGGTTTGATCTCCTTGCAGGCCAGGGGACTCTCAAGAGCCTCCTCCAGCACCACAATTCAAAGGCATCAGTTCTTCAGCGGTCTGCTTTCTTTATGGTCCAGCTCTCACTTCCATACTTCACTACAGGGAAAACCATAGCTTTGACTATGCGGACTTTTGTTGGCAAGGTGATGTCTCTGCTTTTTAGGATGCTGTCAACGTTTGTCATCACTTTCCTCCCAAGAAGCAGGCGTCTTTTAATTTCGTGGCTGCTATCTCCATCTGCAGTGATTATGGAGCCCAAGAAAGTAAAATCTGTCACTGCCTCCATATCTTCCCCTTTTATTTGCCAGGAGGTGATGGGACCAGTGGCCATGATCTTAGTTTTTTTGATGTTGAGTTTCAGACCGTTTTTTGCACTCTCCTCTTTCACCCTCATTACTAGGTTCCTTAATTCCTCCTCACTTTCTGCCATCAGAGTGGTATCATCTGCATATCAGAGGTTGTTGATATTTCTTCTGGCAATCTTAATTCCGGCTTGGGATTCCTCCAGTCCAGCCTTTTGCATGATGTATTCTGCATATAAGTTGAATAAGCAGGGGGACAATATACAGCCTTGTCGTACTCCTTTCCCAATTTTGAACCAAGCATAGTATATACTAAATGTAAATTGAAATGCAATTTGAATTTTTGCAGCATGTATTCCTCTTACGCCTCTTTGCTTTTTTTGGGGGGGGGAGGTTTGCATACATTACTGTAATGCTAGTTGCCTATCTTATTTTATTCCCACTAGTTATGGATTAAGGCAGGGATTTCAACAGTAATTATTATGGACAATTGTGTGTGTGTGTGGTGTGTTTGTGTGTGTGTTAGAAAGACTTAAAATGTGTATTGTAATTCACAGTGAGACGTGCTTCTGAGTAAACATGAGTAGGACTAGAAATTTTCTTTTCTGCCACGAGATTCTTTGGAAGCTGAATTCTCCAGCGAATACACTTACGGTGCCTTTATTTTGCATTCTCCCCCACTCTTGGTTCAGTATTTCCATGGTTCAGTATAATTTTTATACACAGGAGCCTTTGGTTCTACTCACATATTCCAGATACTTTTAACAAAAAAGAAGTTGAATTGTGCTCTTACCCTTCTCTGTGCACTTGTTAACCAAACAATGCAAAGTGAACTGGTTTGTATAGTACCTACTTTGCTACTCTGTCCCTTTCCACAAGATGTAATATATTTTATTAGTGAATCATCAGCATATATTAACTTTGGCATCTTCCACCTGATGGGAGCCAGTCCAGATGATGGAGAGGGAAAGGCAGGCAAATGTGATAACCATGTGAACCCTGTTCACATGGTTATCTACTATCTTCCTTCAAAAGATTAAGGAGGATAACAGGCATCTATTTCTATTTCAGCTGGAATCATCTCTTTCTGTTCATGTATAGAAGCAGGGAGTTGGACTTGGTGGCTTTGTAGGCCCCTTCCAATTTCTCTTTTCTATGATTCTGTTATTCTATGATCTACTGCTAGCAGCCTTATGGAAAAAGATACTGATGGGACTTTGGTTGCTACACGTATTTTTATTTAAAGTATTACAAATTTGTTCTCGAAGGCTTTCATGGCCAGGATCCGATTGTGGTTCTGGGTTTTCCGGGCTGTTTGGCCATGTATCATTAAAACAAATATTACAAATTTGTTTTATTAATATTATTTGTAAGTTACCTTGAAAGAGCTGTGTCAAAGGCAGCACCAACTTAGTCCTATTGCTAGTAGTAATAGTAGCCATTCACACTAAAGTCTTTTGAAAGGAAATAAAGTGCAGTGTGGTGTTATGCCACTCCATTCACTGGACTTCTTTAAATATGTTCACCTTGTAGAGCATAGTGACATAGTGATATTTAAGTAGCACAAAATTCAGAACGCTTCAGCATCAGATTGGATGGGATAGTCAAGAATGTCAACACTGACAGACTCCCATGTTGCAGCTGTGCTTGAACTATACAATTTCTCCTGCACTTCCCTCACCAGATTGTCAGGAGGTGAAATAGATTGCTGTCCGCTGCGTCTGATCTGTCAAGGAGTTGAGTGCTGTCCATTTGGCTAGCAGCCCATTGTCTAGTTTCTCCCTAAAGGCAGCTAATGTGATGCTACGAACAGCAAAAACAGCACTCTGCATTTCTAGTACAGCAAAAGTGTTGCTTGTCTCTTTTGAACAGCAAACTGCATTAGTGAAGCCAGATGAAAAAAGCAGGATGGGCATGTCTTCAGAAAATTCTCACGAAAAGTCTGTCTTGCTCTTTTTCATGCAGTTTGTTTCTCTGCATATCGAGTACTTCTCTCCCTAGCAATTACGAGCTATTTTGTTTGAAAGTTCTCTTAATTTTTTCTACAGGAAGAAAAGACAAGTTGTGAAGAAATCGAATAAATAAATATAAATAAAGAAAGTCCTGTAACACCAAAGGAGTAGCTCTAAAATGCAATATTAAGGGGTTGAACAAGGAGGAGTGAATCTTTTTATGTGAAACTTCTGTTAACTAATCTGTCCTACTGCAAGCCTAGTCTCTTGGAGTTCATTAGTTTTAACTATGAGCGGTTTTATAGTCTGCAGATAAAAGCTACTTTTTGAAAAGGGCAAAAGCATCTTTTAAATGCATTTGCTGTTGTAATACATTTAATTGTATCAAGTGACTTTAGTAATCAGAAGTTGGAGAGACTATTTTGTGTTCTACTGTCTTGTGCCTTCTGTCTTGCCAGTGCACTGTTGAAATAATTAGGTTGCCATTTCATCCTGAGAAGCTTTCTCCTTGTACAGGTGCCTTTTTATTTTTGAGTGGACAAAGAACAAAAAAAAGAAGCAGTGGCCAGAAATGGTAATATCTTCAAGTTACTGTCTAAAATAATGATGTTTATGGTGGAAGAATTTTACGTCTGCAGTTAATAGTTCCATTGGCATGAAGCATCTCTTCTACACTGCATGTTTATGGTCACTTTCTGTTCTTAAAAGGGTCACTTGTGTACATATATACTGAAATTACAAGATGGGTTCTCATTTTTGTGTATGGCACTGACTTTCTTCCCTATAATATACTAGCCTTGCTGTTACACCAACGTGCAAGGATGGAGAGGCTAGCAAAGGAACTGAAGCTTGAAAATGAGGAGCTGGAGAAACTTAAAAGTGAAGTGAATGGCATGGAACATGATCTCATGCAAAGGCGACTGAGAAGAGTGAGTTGTACAACCTCTATCCCAACAGTAAGTAGGTAGGGTTTTGTTTTAAAAATGATAGTTATATTAGAATCTTGTTTTTCTCTTCTTGAGAGAAAGATTTGCATAGAGGCCAGAATCCTCCTGGATTTGCACAGTGAAAGTAGATATTTGTACAAGTGCACTACCTAAGTTGTTGTTTGATTGTTACGGTCCTCTGCTGCCTCAGGTCAAGGAAACAGAAGTGAATCTAATTAGATCCCAGATGGCAAGCCAGGAAGGAAGAACTATGCAATTGCCCTTCTGTGTTTAATTTTACTGAGTAGGACTCTGGCTATCAGATTTTAATGGAAGACTTGCATATCAAAATTTATATCTAGCTGTACTGCATACTGCATAATAAGGTTCAACTTACCAGTCCCCTTCATCAACTCAATGTTGTTCCATGCTCTTCCTCATGCCAGATAGTGTGATGTTGCATACTGTATTGTCATCACCTGGAAATAAGGAACTCTGATTCTAAAATGCTTTCAAAGACCAAGACAGTAAAAGAGACTTTGTTGTTCTAGTAAATGAATTGTTGTGGTTTAGAAGAAAGAAAGAAAGATGGAAGGGAGATGTCATTAGATTTAAATTTTACAAGCCTACTGTCTGCAGTGAGGTTTTCAGGATCGTGTCTTTCAATATTGTCGTACTTCATGTTTTGCTGACTTGATTGCTGTTTTCTGATAAGGAATATTTATTTCTTAAACAGATTTCAGAAACTAAATGTTGCTTTGGGTTTGAGCAATAGATGCAGGATGAATTATGTGAAAACAGTGGTTTTCTTCAAGAGCTTTATTCAGGTGCCTACGAGCAGGCTAATTATTTATAATTTAAAGCACATCTACACTACTCTGGTTCAAAACATGTTTAACTATCTTGGTATGTATCCTGAAGAGCCTGAGAACTGTACTACTTAGATGGCGTTAAAGCTCCCTTTTCTGATCTCTTGAGTCTGAAAGATGGTTAGATTTTAAATCAAAATTATTAAAGGTAAAGGTTCCCTTTGACATTTAGTCCAGTCGTGTCCGACTCTAGGGGGCGGTGCTCATCCCTGTTTCCAAGCCATAGAACCAGTGTTTGTCCATAGACAGTTTCCATGGTCACATGGCCAGTGCCAGTTAGGCATGGAGTGCTGTTATCTTCCCACCGTGGTAGTACCTATTTATCTACTTGCATTTGCATGCTTTCAAACTGCTAGGGTGGCAGGAGCTGGGACAAGTGACGGGAGCTCACTTCGTTGTGTGGAATCCATCTTACAACTGCTGGTCTTCTGACCTTGCAGCATAGAGGCTTCTGTGGTTTAACCCACAGTGCCATCACATCCCTTTAAAATTATTTAAACTAGCAGTTAAATCCTGATTTGAAGTAGGTTTCTCACTTGTAAATTATACTTTTCTCAGAGAAAAAATGTTGCCGTTATAATAATGAAAATATTGATTTTTAGTTTAATAAATCTGTTGTCATTGAGCCCACATACTATGTAATTGCATCTGCCTAGAGGTAAGAGTTAGTGATAGTGGAATTAATGGATTTACATTTCATTTCATTTATTTGTGTGCATACTTTAACCAAGATAGTTATGCTGACTTTCCTTCCATTTGCTATTTTTGGTTCTCTTTCCTAGCCTGAGGAGATGACCAGATTGAGAAGCATGAACAGGCAGCTCCAGATAAATGTTGACTGTACACAGAAAGAAATTGACCTTCTTCAATCTAGAGGTATGTAGTTTTTGATACATTTCTTTATCATCATGTACTTTTTTGGAACTGTATTTATTGGTGAGCCTGATGGATGGCTCCTGGGCCAGAATACTGAAATAGCCATACTCTCACACAACGTGACTGGGATTAAGATGAGCTACAACTTTATTGGTTACATCTATCAGATGTCTGTGGTGCTAGCATAGAGGATAGATCCTGTATTAGCCATATTAGTCAGCATCTGATGCCAATCATGGGGACAGACTTGGGGTTAATCACTTGGGCATAAGCCACTGAATGGTCCTGTCAGTCCTTAAGGAGGTAGAAAGTATGTAACAGCCCCTGTATTGGGCATGCATGGAGTCTTTTCACCCTGTAAAGGGACAACTTGAGGAGTCCCACAGCTATGGGGTCCTCACTCTCCTATCTGGATCTGCCTTCACGCTTCAGAACCACCACTAACAAAAGTTGGAACAAAATTAGCTACAAGTGTAATCCAAGCCAATCAGAACAATCTAACCAATTAAGCCAGTTGAACCAATCAAATGATAACTAAAGGTCTTTGAAGGAGGGGTGGGGAGAGAGAAAGGTCGAAAACAAATTGGCTTCTACGTACTGTGCAGAACAGCGCCTTATATCCTTCCAGGTCCTCTGGGAACTGGTTCTCCCATCCCAGCCAATCCTACTGGCCAATTCATATTCAGCTTGGGAAAAGACTACATAGCACAAAGGTCCTTGAGAAGCAGGAAACTACCCTAAAATAGCACCTTCAGTGTTTCCCAATCCCAGAGCTACTGCCACCAAAAAGCACAGTCCTTTTGAGTATGTCTGTGACTGGGGTATGCAAATGTAAGTGATTTCTTACATATTAGTGACCTGTACTATCATTGGTATAGAATAAAAGCTAGATAACTCTGTTTTCTTTCAATTTTGCTTATGAAAGGAAGGGCAGAAGTTGTTGTTGTTGTTGTTGTTTTTAAAGACAGATTTGTAAAAACTTCTTCTGACAGTATTCCGGAGAACTGAATTTTAATCTTAATTTAGGTTATCAAAGTACCAGAGATTCTTCACTGTAAACGAAACAAACTCTAAAACATGGAGACATCATATTAGGACAGTACAGAGTAAGACTTGTGAAAAAAGTATGGACTACCATTGTCTCTCTTTCTGAAAGCATGCAGCTTTAACTAAAGTTAGGAACTTCTGGATCTTCTTTATTGGCTTAATTGTTCTAAAGGAGGCATGCTTTTCTGATTCATATTAATAGGGAATTTTGACCCGAAAGCCACAAGCAATTTTTATGACCATATAGAGCCTGGTCCTGTTGTGCCACCAAAGCCATGGAAAAAAGGTGAGTCTCCAGAAAAATTTCAAGATTTAGTATTTAATATATTTGCACTGATTAATTTTTATGTTAGAAAGGCGAATTTCATTGTACTGTTTATCTCATGACGTTTACCACGTGGTGCCTGCTTGTTTCCCCAAACAAAGGGCTCCAGCTATGTCATCCCACCAGCAGATCCCAATCTCTCTTTTCCTCACTGCCACCAGTGGATTTCCTTTATCCACAATATATACAGAACTTTAGTCAGACACTTGCCTGGTTACTGTCAACAGAACTTATTTATTGAAGTGTATCAAATTTAATCAGAATCACAGATGTTCTTTATTCAGTGCATACAATCAAATCATTAAAATGTCATATATCTTGCAACATAACCAGTCAAGACCTGCTCTATCTATTTATCTTGACCAGCTTATCTCTAATAGCATATGTTCTCACTATCTCCCTATCTCTCTCTCTTTCCCTCCAAGTTCTATAACTCTCCCCTTCATCTCCTGCCAAACCTTCTTATATCTACTGACTCCGCCCCTCTATTCCTCTCATAGGCTCATGCAAATGAGATCCTGAATATGAGTGACAGGAGTGATGTGGGGCAACTGTCAATTGCCTTGTTGCCAAAGTTGCTTTTGGTACAGCTTCAAGCTTATATTTACTTATAAATACACCCTTCATAATCCAAGTTATATGCTTTGTACATGATAATACTTTCTTTTTGCCTCTGTGCACATAAGCAACAACATGTCCTTTAGGCGTTAACTGAGTTCCTTTATTAGTGACAGAATTTTTTTATTTTTATCCTTATCCTCTTCTCCAATAGCTAATAAATTGTCCTGTGAGCTGAGAGTCTCATCTTTCAGCACTGTTTCTTGTATCATTGTAGATTGTCTCATCATTGGCTTTTTTAGAGACAGGTAATCAGAAGTTATTTACTTTTGCCTTCTTCAACAAAATACCTAATGAAAGTTAGTGTGAAGATTACTGCCACTATCTATGAATGACATTCTGCCAGTATTATCTGTCTCCACTGGTGCTGTGTAGTAGCTGTGTTTCAAGGATTTTTCTATTCCCATTATCATCGGAACTCTCAGTTATTTTCTGCTAATGGGAACATTAATTCCTGAAGAGGATGGATGCCCTGATATTTCAGTTTTGACTGTTTCATGTTGTGTGACCCTTCTTAGAGTCTAGACCTTTAATAGAGTCTGTCTTTTTGATGGTGTTGTTCTTAACTTCCCTGACATATACTCTCTCAGCTCTTTAAATGCTGATGTTGTATAGTTTATCCTTCTAGAAGACATAGTATATCCATGCATACTTTCCTACACATTCAGTTTCTTAGTACTGTAAAAGCACTAGCTAATGGGGAAGAAACTGTTCTAGGTATTTTGTGAAGAAATTACGAATAAATACTAGTTTTGGATTTTAACCCATACATTAGTATACTTGTTTGTTGGCTTGCTACTGATTCAACCATCAAATATATCTGGCAGATAAAATACGATCTGCCATGATCATGAAAAGTTTAAACTTAAAATGTATTTTAAAAACAATTCATATAATAGCACTATGTTGTGTATTGTTGCCCTTATTAGAAACAAAAATAAAATATAATGCCAAAAATAGAACCTGTTTAGAAAAATATAGAAATCTCAACCTTCTGCTATGATATCATTGGTATTATGATTCATGATTTTTGTACATTTAAAAATATAGATTTTAAAAGAAAATCATTCTCTGTAGACCGTCAGAGCAACTCCAAGCAAGCTTTGCGATCACAACCAAGAGATGAAGACTTTGAAGGATCACCATGGAATTGTGACAGCTGTACATTTTTGAATCACCCAGCACTGAATCGCTGTGAACAGTGTGAAATGCCGCGGTATGCTTGAATCCATACTGCTTGGATTAAAAATGGGCTCTCAAGCATACAACCACAGAAGGAAATGGGGGGTGCCTTGCAGTCGATCTAGCAAGCATTTGGCAGCCAATCATTTTCATATTATAAGGGAGATACTCCTGCTGCTCATACTGCGCTAGTTTGAGGAAAATACTCTTATCCCTCAGTGTGAGCAAGGCTGAAAGGATATCACAAATCCAAAATGGATTCCCTCTGAGAAGAATGTATACAGGAAAGCAGGTGATTGCTGCTGTTCTAGCCCTTGTAATTACATTTGCTGGGTAGTAGCCGTTATATATATTTTTATAAGCATTGAACTGTTAACATTGTGTGAAGTGTTACAGGTATCCAGACAAACTGTGAAGAACCAGAGCTGATAATCTGGCCACAGCAAGCTGGGAAAGAGAGGCTCCCTGTGCTTCCAGATTGTAAACTACT